TAGGGGTTGCCATCTCCCAGGGTTATAGCGCGTCTGACGCCTCAGGTGCCAGGGCTAACCCAGTGGCTTCAACTAGGGCCCGCCTACGCGCCGCTTTAGGCTTCTTACCCAAGTCCTCCCTGCTGCCGCCGCAGGTCAATCCTCTCCAAAAGTCCGAATGGGTGCAGTTGCCCCCAGAGCTCGACATGGCAGCGTGCGTGCCGGGTGCCTCTGCAGAGCGCCTCACGGGGGTCAAAAATAGTCAGGTTGTGTCCATTCGGAGGCAGGGTGGCAGTTGGTGGGCTAGCGTGGCAGAGCCGGTGCAACCACAGGAGTTTCTTCGCCGGGCTGCAAACTCTGTGCACCCGGCGGAATGCCGGCCCCCACTGCCAGAGCCGCTTGAGTCGGCCGTGTATCGTGCGCGCACTAGCCTGACTCAGGTGCACAGGGACAGAGTCCAGATGTTGAATTCCATGTGCCAAAGGGCAAAAGAATTGGCTCGGTCAGAGGCATCTTACAGGGCAAGAGACTTCGGCTCCTGGAAGAGCTCTTACAGTCCATTGATTTCGAGGACAAGGCTTTGGTAGATGATCTGCGCAAAGGAATGCCGTTGACGGGCTGGCTTAGGGATAGTGGCCACATGCAGGCGCACGTAGTTCCCCCACTTTTGACCAAGGACGAGCTCCTTAAACAGGCCCCTGCCCGCAACAGAGAAATTTGGGACATGACTGGGCCCTCCGGTGACTCGACACTGGATGAGGCCCTCTGGCGCAAAACCTGCGAAGACGTGGACAACGGGTGGGCTTTCTTGTTGCCGCCATCTGATGCCCCCCCTGCAGAAGGGGCCCTCAGCAGGCGTTTCGCAGTCACCCAGGGTGACCGCGTCAGGGCCATTGACGATTTTAGTGTCTCCAGGATCAACGACACAGTCGGAAGTCAGGACAAAATCACAGTCATGACTTCCGGTGACACAGTTGCCTTAAGGCGTTTCTTAGGTCTCCGCAGGTGCCCGCCAGAGCTCGCAAACTGCTGGGCAGATGCTTTGACTTAAAGTCAGCGTATCGTCAGCTAGCAGTCTCGCCGCAGGACATGGATGTAGCGCGTGTTGCAGTATGGAACCCAGTTGCCAAAAGGGTTGAGGTCCTGCAGCTCAGGGCACTCCCGTTTGGAGCGTCCGCCAGTGTCTGGGGGTTCATAAGATTGGCTCTCGCCTTATGGGCTGCAGGAACCCAGTTGCTGTGCATTCCGTGGACCACTTTCTACGATGACTACTCAGTAGTCACCCTGGAAGAGGATGTCAGAAGTCTGCAAGCCTCAGTCTTCTTGTTTTTCCAGTTGCTAGGGTGGAAAGTAGCCACCGACGGGGGCAAGGCGTCTCCCTTCTGCCAGGTCTTTCAGTCCCTGGGTGTGGTTTTTGACTTGACAAAGGCACCCCAAAGAACTGTACTTGTCTCCAACACAGAATCCAGGCGCATTGAGGTGCGTCGCTGGTGTAAGGAAACGCTAGACAGGGGAACTCTGGCCCCAGCCGAGTGCCTTGCCTTTGCCTCCAGGGTTCGTTGGCTAGAGGCGCAGACGCATGGTCGGCTTGGCATGGTCGCGCTAAGGGTCCTCCTCAACCATGCCAGCCCAGCAAAGGACTCACGCAGAGTCGCTATGTCAAGCAGGTTGCGTTGGGCAGTATCTTGGATCTTGCACAGTGTGCCCTCAGCACCGCCCAGGGCCTTTGAGATTCAGGCACGCAAGAAGTTTTTGGTGTTCACCGACGGAGCAGTTGAGGAAGGCATTGCCTCCGTAGGGGGAGTGCTCTGCAGCGCTCGTGCGCTGCCCATTGCTTACTTCGGTGCTAAGGTTCCACAGTCGGTGACCGAGGCTTGGCGTGCCTGTGGTACGGAGCACCCAGTGTTTCAAGCAGAATTGCTTGCCGTGCTGCTTGCAGCTCACTTGTGGGGAGGGGCCCTCGCAGGGAATCTGTGCACGTGCTTCGTGGACAACGAGGCCGTCAAGCACTCTCTGATTCGAGGATCCGCCTTCCCAGATTCCAACCAGCTGCTACTGGAGAATTTCCTTTCCCAGGAATCGTCTCTAGGGACACACTTCTGGTTCTGCAGGGTACCCAGCCCGTGCAACCCGGCAGATGCGCCGAGCAGGGGGTTGTTCCCGCAGTGGCTGGCTTGTGCCAAGCGTGAAGAAGTCCATGGGGATTTTGTGGAAGCTTTGGCCCTCAGCCAGCTGGGCTTCTAGGAACGTGGGGCATAAGGGCCCAGCGGCCTCGGGCCATTTGTGCTTTTGCTCTGACAGTCCTGCAGGCGCCTCAGGTCCAATTGTGGAACCAGGGCATCGGGAGCTTGCAACATGGACAGGAGCCCAGGCTCCCAGTTCCCGATGCAGTACAGGTGCAGGAGCTTTCCAAAGTCGGATTGCCGGCTAGTGCCGTGCAGCTTTGCCCCACGGCGTGAAAAGTGCTTCTGCGCCGCTTCTCTTCAGTAAGAGTTCGTGACACATGTTGCTTGTACTTGTACGAGCCTATGTGTCCTTGAACTCGTGCCATTTTGGCTCTAGCGCCAAAATTTTCAGCCCACCCTCCACTCCCTAATGAAGCGACTTGAGGTCGATCCGTTGTTGGACCTGACAGGTTCCTTTGGACCTATCAGGTCAGGTAGGGCCCAGTTGCGTCAGCCATGGGAAGAAGGAACTTTTGCTTTTTTGTCTCAGAGCCCAAGCATTTTGAGAGAAGTGCAGGAGGATCTGTTCGAGCTGCCTGCGCATGTGCCGCGGCCACTGGTCGCAGTAACTGCTCAGGCAGTCGCAGTGCCGGCCCCTTTCAGGGCGCCGCCGTTAAGGTGTGCTCACACAGGATGGCAGGCTTCCAGGGCGCGTGAAGAGCGCCAAGTGGCACTTAGCAAGTGGAGCGCTTTGATTAGGCAGGCGCCCCATTTCTTCAGTATTCAGGTGCTCCACTTTGTCATGAACCAAGACAATAGGGTCGAGTTGGGCAACTTGGAGGTGATATTCTGTCGCAAGGCCACCAACGCGTTGCTCAGCAGAGCCGGCGCACTGAAGAAACTGGTGGTTTGGGGGGTCTTTCGTTTTCCCATGGAAGCCTTGTCTGAGCCGCTGCTTTTTCTCTTTATGCAGGAGCTTAAAGACAAGGGCGCTTCAGCCAGTGCGGGTCATTCAGTCTTGCAGGCGCTGGCCTTTTGTCATGGGCTCCTTGGCTTAGCAGTTGCTCTTGACAGTCTTCGCAGCCCAAGAGTGACGGGCATGGCTCACCTGCAGTTGCAAAACAAAAGGCCTCCTAAGCAGGCGCAACCGCTGACAGTGCAGGAGGTGCGTTGGCTAGAGCAGGCGGCCGCGCAGGACCCGCAGTCCTACGAGAGCCTTTTGGCAGGAGGATTGTGTTTCATGTTATTTGCCAGGGCGCGACACAGCGATGCGTGCAGAGCCAAAGATCTAGCTTTCGACTTCGGTGCTAGGACTTTCACAACTGGTTACGTGGAATGCGCAGTTCTCAACCCCAAGCAATCTGGAGCAGCCAGTCAGGGCAACAGGCTGCTGCCTATGGCGGCACCGGTACTAGGTCTTGAGGAGCGACCTTGGGCACTCAGTTGGATGTCGGCCAGACAGGCTTGGGGTTTGACCTGCGCCGGTGACCTAGCTGACGACTTCATTCTTCCGGCCATGTCAGCCAATGGCCGCCTCTTGCAGGCCCACTTGACGAGTGCTGAGGTCACGAGGTGGCTGCACGCCATTCTCAGTCAGGACCCAAGGGCAAATCAGGATCACTTGCTCCAGCTCACGTCGCACAGCTTGAAGGTGACGCTGCTGAGCTGGACAGCAAAAGTTTTCGTTGGATGGGACAATCAGACATTGCTAGGTTACCATAGTCTTGGAGTGAACAAGAGTGCACTGAGCTACAGCAGAGACGCCCTCAGTGGTCCCCTGCGTGAGCTCGAAAAGGTGCTCACGTTGGTGCGTGCTGGCCAGTTCGATCCAGATGACACCAGGAGCGGCCGCTGGCATCCAGTCCCGCAGGCGAGCTCATCCTCAGCATCTGCAGCGTCGGCCGCTGGTGACGCCGCAGAGGCTCTGCAGCAAGCGCTCCAGGAATCCAGTGAGGGCAGTGACTCTGAGGGCTCAGTCTCCAGCAGTGGATCCGAAAACGGCCAACTGCAAGTAAACGAAGCCACGCATCTTCTCAGTCTCATTGTGGAGTCAGGACGTTTCGCGCTCCACTCACATGCATCAAGTGGGATCACCCACGTTGTTGAGTCCGGTTTTGACCGTTTTCTTTGTGGCAGATCTGTTTACGGCCGCTATCAGGTCGTGCAAGAAGTGTCAGGACAGGATCTTAGACTTTGTTTCATTTGCAACAATGGCGCCGAGGCTAAGCTGAATGGAGCTTGGGCGGGGGCATAAGGGCCCAGCGGCCTCGGGCCATTTGTGCTTTTGCTCTGACAGTCCTGCAGGCGCCTCAGGTCCAATTGTGGAACCAGGGCATCGGGAGCTTGCAACATGGACAGGAGCCCAGGCTCCCAGTTCCCGATGCAGTACAGGTGCAGGAGCTTTCCAAAGTCGGATTGCCGGCTAGTGCCGTGCAGCTTTGCCCCGCGGCGTGAAAAGTGCTTCTGCGCCGCTTCTCTTCAGTAAGAGTTCGTGACACATGGGAAGACATGCTGAAAGGGCTCGGTAGTCGCATGTCCCTATGTTTCACGCTTCCAGGTTCGTTCAAGTGGGAGTGCACCATGCCCTAGCACACCTAGCACTCAGGTGCTGATAAGAGGTTCGCCTGGGCTTTGAAGACATGTGGATGCAATGTAATTTTACGCCTTTCCTCACACAGGTACGGAGATGCCCCAGTGTTTGTGTTTGTGGCAACACCGTCAACACAGCTACTCGCGAGTTGGGATTGTATCCAAGCTTCACCTGGACGTGCCTGCTTCCAGCGCGTGTGGCACAATGCTATCTAACGTGTAGGCGAAACCCCCACAAGAAACAAAAATGCCGCACTGAAATTGCAGGCTCCTGCTGCATACTGCGTTGAGAGCAAGCGCTCGCAGCTTACTATCGCCTCACTGTGGGAGCAGTTCGGGCTTGAGTGTGCTGCAATTCATGTTGAAGAATGATTAGATAAACTCAGTTCACCATCTTCGCGAAACATGGTTGGATCTTGTGGTGCATCAGGTCTAGAGCGGGTGTTCGCTGACTCGCCTCTTCCTGCAGATTCAGACTCCCAGGTGGCCACACTAGGTCTTGCAATACCCTGCAAAATCCATGCTGTCTCAAAATTGGAGAGATGATGCGTCCAGTGTGACGTGGTGTCGCTCATGCATGGCTCAAAGGGAATCTAGAAACGACAGATATTGGGATGACACGGCGTCATGCCATGACTTGAGAAGGGTATTGGAGTAGAAGTGCCAAGGCATGTTGTACGTTTGAGGACTCGTGACTCGTGCACTGAAATCGAAAACATTCTGGATCTGAAACTTGGGTTAGCGTCGGCAAAGGACTTTGCAAAAGTGTTGAGATCGAGATGCATGCCACAAGTTCGCAAACGTGTGCATGCTGCGCAGGTGCCCACCCCATCGAAGGACCAGGAGCAGGGCTTGGCGCCTTGGCTCGGACATCTCAAACAGCATCATGTTTCACAAGGCTTTTTTTGCCCGCTGCCCACCATTCCCAAGAGCTGTGCAATTGCGTTGACATTCACATGAGGCCGGGCTGCTGATCTTGTTTCGATTCCTCCGCACTGCACCTCGGAAGCATGGAGAGCCATGGACTTTTCATGTCGAGACCGTGATCGCAACCATCACTAGCGTAACCTATTCTGTCGACTCTGCCCCGTCTGGTGCTTCCGCCAGGTGGTGGCGATGAGCTGTTTGGCCGCTGCTGCTCAAGCCCCGGAGCGCATCGAGGAATGTCGAGTCGTCCTATGCAAATCAAGCTCGACCGGAAACCCAGAGAGTCATGCTTTGAGCTTACGGTGCATTTTGAGCAGGCGCCAATCTCATTCACACATCGCCTCAGGTCTCCGGCATCGTGTATCTGCTACTCCGACTCGGCGAGGCAGGTGCAGACATAATGTTTATAATATATATATATATACATACATATGCATATCTGTTTATTTATTTATACAATATATATATATATATATACATATATATATATGTGTATATATGTATCCAGCAGACGCCTGAAGCGGAGCTCGGCGAGTTCCGAGTAAAGTAGAGACTCAGCGTGTGCCAAAAGATTGCTCCAAAGAACAACATTGTGACATGCCTCACGGAAGCACCTTTGTGAGATTTCCGCGTGGCAGACATTTCCTTTACAGCTCAAGAGGAGACACCTAGGAGGGCTTCCTCCCAGCTGTGCAATCGACTGAACAAGCTGCGACACTGAAGCTTGGCTTTTTGTGAGATGCTGCAACTGTCTTTGGAGTTAGATGAGCAGATGGTGTGACTCGACCAGCAAGATGTTCTTCCTTTGTCGCAGTTTTGGCACACTGCTGCATTGTGCATGAGTTTCACCTGCAGTTGAGACTGCTGGCCTGTTGTGTCCATTTCTCTGGGCACCTTCCATGGAGAGTAGAGATCGCTTCTCCTCAAGAATCGAACCTGACAGTGCCCGGCATACTTTGAGAGTACCCGACATGCCAAGGACAGTGTTGTAATTTTCAGATCAGCTTGGGTCAGAAGCTGCTTAGCGGCAAGAAGACGGATGTCAACACAGAGTGCCAGTAGAGAGTGGCAAAGGCAAAGGCAATGCAGAGCATGACTCTTCCCTTGACTCCTGAACCACTTCCTGAGGCGTTGTACAGGCTTCTCTTGCAAACGATGCGCACCTACGACTCCGTGCCGATGAATGTTGAACGGCCAGGACAGAACAAGGCAAGATGCGAATGTGCTGACTTCCAATCTGTTCGTTAAATCGCCAGTGTCGTTGAAGATGATGTAGGCACAATGCCACATGCGTGAAGCAGCTGCTAGCAAAAAAGGTACCTGCTCAGCCTCGAGTTAGCTCTGCTGATGCTGCACGGAGTAGCATGAACCACTTGTGCAGTGGGAGAGAGCTGTTCATGAATGGCACAACTTCAAAGATGTGGTACAGCTCTGCTAGAAGGTTCAATCCCAACGGCAAACTCTGCAAACTGTGTTAGTCTTCCTCAACTCAAGTCCTCACAGCCCTGGCCGGAGTTGAAATCGTACGTGCCATTTCTGCAGGCACGGAAGAGCTTTGCAATCGATGCCTTCGTGCAGAAGGGCGCCTGAGCACAGAAGACCCTTTAAACTTCAGCTGTCAGCAATGTTTCGGGGCCATTTCCTCGAAGGAGTACCTCGTTCTAACACAGAAGCCCGAATGTGGAAGTAGCATCCGGTGCCTCTGGCACACCACTTGGCAAGGCTTCATGATGCAAAAATGTCGGGTGCTGGCATGCATGCAGCGAGGCGTTCAATGGCCGTTAGCCGTCTTCATTGCCTCAGTCGCCATTCTGGGCCTGTTCCTTCGCGACTTGGTTGCTCCGAGCTGGTGTTTTCAATGCGGCATCTTTTTATGCTCGACGTCGTCATCTTTACATACATTGCATGTCTCCAGACCCGGCATGCACAAGCTTCACATCAGCGCTGTGTGGGGATCGCAACATGTGATTTGGGTCCATCTTCGGCCTTTTTTGGGCCGGTCCTTGAGGTGCCCTGGATGGTCTGTTCTTCTCAGAAGAGGCGCTGCAGTCACTTCAAGTCACTACAAGTAACTACATCAAATCACTGCTCTCTTAGGGTTTAGGGTTTTAGGGGATTCAGACTTGCGCGAGAGCAGGAAATGCCTTCCTGCCTCTGGGAGATTGGGCTGTGCGCTGCAGCGACCTTCGGACTCGTGGCTAAAGAGACTCGCAATAGAGGGGCTGTCACGCAAGCTTAAGATGAGACGTGATGAGGGACATTCTGCATCACTCTGTCAGGACTGGCAGCAGCAGCTCGTCCTACAAAGGGCAGCAAGACCCAGGCAGAGACAGAGACAGAGAGGGATAGGATGTTCACTCACGCTGCCGGCAAGTATCTTCATCCTTGCCGAGTCTTGCTGCATGCCAGCGTTCTGCACTGTATGTGGCGAGGTGCCAAAGGCGTTGCAGCAGCCGACGTCGGGCCGAAGCGCAGCCATGACACTGGCGGGGGCACCCCGCCTGCAATTGTGAGGTTTCCGCACCACCATGCAACGACCTCACTTGTCGAAGATGTGCCAGTTCCGCAGGCACGGAAGAGCTTTGCAATCGATACCTTCGTGCAGAAGGGCGCCTGGGCACAAAAGTCACAAAAGACCCTGCAGTTGTCAGCGATTGTTTCAGGGCCATTCCCTCGAAGGAGTACCTCGTTCCAACTCAGAAGTCCGTAGCAAAGTGATATAAAGTGATAGGTCGTCTATGGTCGTCTGTTCTATTCTGTTCTGCTATCGAAATAGCATCCGATGCCTCTAGCAGACTCTAGCACACCGCTTGGCAAGGCTTCTTGACGCAAGAATGTCGGGTGCTGGCATGCCTGCAGCGAGGCGTTCAATGGCCGTTAGCCGTCTTCATTGCCTCAGTCGCCATTCTGGGCCTGTTCCTTCGCGACTTGGTTGCTCCGAGCTGGTGTTTTCAATGCGGCATCTGTTTATGCTCGACGTCGTCATCTTTACATACATTGCATGTCTCCAGACCCGGCATGCACAAGCTTCACATCAGCGCTGTGTGGCGATCGCAACATGTGATTTGGGTCCATCTTCGGCCTTTTTTGGGCCGGTCCTTGAGGTGCCCTGGATGGTCTGTTCTTCTCAGAAGAGGCGCTGCAGTCACTTCAAGTCACTACAAGTCACTACATCAAATCACTGCTCTCTTAGGGTTTCGGGTTTTAGGGGATTCAGACTTGCGCGAGAGCAGGAAATGCCTTCCTGCCTCTGGGAGATTGGGCTGTGCGCTGCAGCGACCTTCGGACTCGTGGCTAAAGAGACTCGCAAGAGAGGGGCTGTCACGCAAGCCGAAGATGAGACGTGATGAGGCGACATTCTGCATTACTCTGTCAGGACTGGCAGCAGCAGCTCGTCCTACCAAGGGCAGCAAGACGCAGGCAGAGACGGAGAGGGAGAGCATCTTTGCGGGACTCGAAGATGTTCAGAGACTCACGCTGCCGGCAAGCATCTTCATCCTTGCTGAGTCTGGCACTGTACTCGGCGAGGCGCCAAAGGCGTTTCAGAAGCCGACGTCAGGCCGAAGCGCAGCCAAGCTCCTCGCTTTGCAATGGCCGGTGAATGGTTGGACATGCAAGGGGTACTTCGGATGTTTTTAGTATGGCAACCCTCTCGCGGATCCATCGTGGATTGTCAGAAGCAGAAGAGTCAGAATGAGCAGACTTGACAGCTGTGAGAGAAGAGATCTTGTCTTCAGAGTCTTCGGCACATGTCCAGCGCCACCCTGTGCACAGCCAGGCCAGCTGCCAAGCCTCTTGGCAAGCCAGCAAATGATCTTGATGGCAAGGTGGGAGAGCCTGCTTTGTGTGTGTTCACTCTTCTTTAGGGTCCTGTACTTCGCACGAGTCTCGAGTCTCTGCCGACGCTGCCTGGAGGTTGCGGAGGTGGTCCTTGCTGTCCGGGCTGGTGACATGCCTCTTGCGGAGGCACCATGCCCGCAAGTTGGCCCTGCGAGCTCGCTAACTATATGTAATATGTGACTGCGCAGAGCAGCTGTGTGCAGCTGCAGAGCCATAGGCCAGGAGCAAAGGGGGCAGGGGCGGGTGTCAGATCACGGACAGATGTCTGCAGTACAGTAGTATATTGAATGGCAGGGTATGTATTTATGTAGGACACACCCGGTGGACTTGGGAGGTCAAGCTCCAGCAGCTGCGCAACTCCTGGAGGCCACAGCTGACTAGGAACGCGTTGAACGCGTTGAGGATGTTTCACCGCCATGGGGGCCATGCCATGGCTGTGTGGTGCTGATAGGGGGTTCTAGGGGTTAGGGTTCAGGGGTAGGGTGTAAGTGCTCGTCATACTAGAAGCCCAGATTGCTGCCCCTTTGCTGGTTTAGGCGAGAGCACGGTGACACCGAGGAGAACGCATCTGCCGAGGCCCCGCCATGAGCACGGTAAGAGTCCATGGTGAGCAATGGTCTTTGGTCAACGGTTGCGCTCCGGAGCTCCACGAAAGACGCCGTTGCCCCTAATCCTCATGAGCCTCACAGACTTTCAAGCGCAAGCGCCTCAGCGGTCTCAGCAAGCATACCCAAAATACAGGGTCGGATTTTTAGAATATGTTACGTTTACAGCAGCACAAGTCAGAAGAACAGACTCCGAAAAGAGCCACCGCGGCAGAGTAACGAAGTCACTTCTTCGGTTTCAAGGACTTGAAACCATGCAGATTTAAATCACTTTCTGAGATTGTGTGTAACGGCCTTCACTGCCAAGAAACCTGGACTTGGTGGTGCGAAGCACTCTCTCCGGAGATTCTTCTTGTTTTGGGGGGTCCAACACAAATTAAATAATGTTTGGAGCGCGCTCGGACAGTCCCCGGATGTATCAGCGTGCAAACAACTGATTCTGTGCGGAGGATGAGATGGGCTGACAATTTCAGGCTGTGTCGACTTAGTCTGGGCCGGCGTCTCCTGGATCCTGACTACGTGTTGGCAAAGACGCACACGACCGGTCCATGCTTATTGGCCCCAAACGGCTTATATAGGAGCAGGGATCACATTGAGAGCAACCCTCTTGCCCAGCAACCTCCTTGCACGAAGAGTCACAGCGTAGGGTGGCAAGCATGCCCTGCGACATGAGGCCCAACTAGACAAGGATTCAAGACAAGGCATTTAGGTGGCGGCGGCTAAAGTCACGCAATCGCCATGTCTGGCATGCATCGATGGTTTTGGGGGGAATCTGCGGTCCTTTCGTGATTCTTTCGGGCATGCGGAGAGTCACCTGCTCTAATTATGCAAGAAAGTCGCACGCATTTCTCTCATGCAGGCACTTGCAGGAGTATTTTTGAATTTGATCTTCGCTTCCTTTTTCCATGGGACCTAATTGTTTTGTCTTTATTTGTTGCAT